AATAAAAAGAATCCATTTTTTTACCATGGGTCACACTTAGAAAGGTTTGAAAGATTCAGCTGCTCAGGACCGCTGGACAATATCAGTTCAATTCAAGGTTGGGCATTCTATTCTTTAACGGGCATTTTTGAATACTTTTTTGTATTATTGCTTTTTTGCTATTGTTACTGTTTTTCAAATACCACAAATTTCAGAGATGTAATTAAATGAGCCAGTATAGCCCATGAGTGGAGTGGCACAAGAATTAAAAATTTATATGCTCAAGAAGTAGACACTAGTGCATGTAATAATCTGATACATGATAAAGGAGGCACCATAAATCAATGGTAGTGACATGAATTCAGTAAATTTTTCACATATTTAGTTAATTATTTGGTTTCAAAATATTTTAGAGCCTTACTCCACACCCTATAAAATGTATGTTTTTTAAAAGTCAAATTAAAAACAACCAGAATAGGGGCTTCCTCGGCAGTCAAGAGGTTACAACTCCACTCCGCCAATGCAGGGGTGCAGGTTTGATTCCCTGATTGGGGAACTAGGATCCCACATGCCGGGCAGCATGGCCAAAATTAAAAAAAAAAAAAATAAAAACAAAAACAGAGCTCTTTCCCTCTGAGAAAGTGGCAGAGGCAGACTATACAGCCCTGGTCAAGATTAAGGCTTGAGACCTTCCTGGCAAAAAGAAGGATTTACCGAAACAGTTGAGGATGGAGTTGAAAGTAGAGCTGTCCCAGAAGTGGGTGGCTAAAGTGACAGGTGGCACAGTTTCCAAACTCTCTAAGATTCAAGTTGTTGGCAAATCCATTGCCTTGTACTCATCGCCATTAATCAGACTCAGAACGTGAACCTCAGGAAATTCTATACAGACAAGAGGAACAAGCCCCTGGATCTTCAGCCCAAGAAAACACGTGGCATGTGCGGACGTTTCAACAAGCACAAAGAAGACCTGAAGGCAAGAAGCAGCAGCAGAGCAAAGTCTGTACAAGTATTTCCAGCAGGGTCAAGGCCTGAGCATCCATGTGTCAGTAACACAAACTGGAAACAAACAAATAACAAAACAAAACAACAAAAAAACAGAATATAATTCAGACGAATTTGTATCCTAAACCTACAGTCACATCCTTCTCTTTTTAAGTATGGAAGCATAATTGACATATAACATTAGACGAATTTCAGTATACAACTTGATTCCCATATTTGTACATATTACTTGGATACATATCATTGGCATTTATTCAAAAATTAATTATGTCACCTTTCTTCCTGTTCTTAGCACAGTGGCAGGATAATTTATTGAGATGCTAATTTGCCTGTGGTTCTCATATCTCCCCTCCCCAAGGGCCTTTGCACCAAGACTAGGGACTAGGAACCCCGAGCAAAAGGCAGAAATGGTTTGAAAGCAACTTCCCTTTTCCAAGTTTGCTTTTAAGCCCACGCTCCTTGAGGGAGATCTGCTAAGTAGAGGGAGGCCAACTGCATAGACACAATCAGTGATTTTCTTTGAATTAATTTTATTTGAACTTATCTTACATATTTCACATAAAAGATTCCTCACCTTTAAAATGAAGAGAGTGTATTAACCCAGGCATTCTCAACCTGGGGTTTAACAGATCAGCAAACTTGAAAGAGAAAAAGATTCACTTTCAGTGATCTCCAACAAAAGTTAAGGGTTTCCGTCAACTGTGATTATAAGTACCAAAGCACAGTTGTGTTGGAAGGACCTGTGACTTGTCACCAATAGATATCACAAGTATTTTCCTATCACATGACAGTTGTCACAGATGCCTTGAAATATCACTTACACTCATGGCCACTTCAAAATCATGGGTAGTTCTTAGACTGCTCCTAGATCTTGTTATTTAATAGATTAAATAAAGAAGTACATCTATCACACATGTATGATATTTAATAACTTGATAATCACATTTTTGATGTAGTTTTCCTTTGTATTCCTGTGTATGAAGTTTTATGCATTCAGAAACATTATTCTGAGAAGTCAGACTGAAAGGGCCCCTGGGTCACATACACACACAAAAAAAAACACGTAGAGCCCCTGGACTGAATGTTCTGTGGCTTTCAACATGCACCTTGGTACATATGCAAGATCTCTACTGAAAATGACTCACAACTTAGATAATCATTGCTGTGACAAAATTACAGTGACATTTTGATCATTCCATATGTGATTTGAAGTGCAACCTCAGGCTAAAACTTCTACGGGTTAAATTCAACCTTCCAGACAAATCCTTCTCTTAAAATTATTCTTTAGGACTTTCATGGCAAAATGTAGGAAAACACCACCAGAAACAGAACCAGAAAATCCATGTCTTATTCCCAGTTCTGCTGTCTGATCCTAGGAAAGTCATTTAAGTTCTCTGAACCTCATCTATAAACACATTTAGATGAGCTTTACAATCTATAAATTCACAGGGGTGAGGAGGAGGGATAAATTGGGAGATTGGAATTGACATATACACAATACTATATATAAAACAAATAACTAATAAGGACTTACTGTACAGCACAGGGAACTCTACTCAATACTCTTTACTGACGTACCTGGGAGTAGAATCTACAAAAAAGTGGATATGACTTTCCTGGCAGTTCAAAGGCTAAGACTCTGTGCTTCCATTGCAGGGAGCATGAGTTTGATCCCTGGTTAGGGAACTAAGATCTTGCATGCCGCACAGTGTGGCCAAAAAGAAAAAAAAGGAGTGGATATAGGTATAACTGACTCATTTTGCTATATAGCAGAAAGTAACACTACATTGTAAGTCAACTATACTCCAATAAAAATTAATTTTAAAAATCTTTAAGTTCCTTTTACTATGTGTATAAAATACAGTAAAATTCTATACTTCTGAAATGTTCTGCCTTTCTTCAGGGTGTATTCTTTGGGATTTACTTCTTAGTATTCAAACTTTAATTCATTCATTCACTTATCAAATATTGTGGAGGGGATAACTAAGCAACTAAGCAAGAGAATTCTGGGAAAATTTTCTCATGAGTCACATTTAAGCTGAGCATCAAAGGTTGAGTAGGAGTCTGTGAAGAGAAGACTAGGACATTACAGGCAGAGAGGACACTGCCAACACCCAGTGTGCTCAGATCCACAGCACACTGAGGGGCTTGATAGGAGTTCAGATGAGACCAGATTTGTACCACGTCTGGTCTCCTTGGCTTATAAGAAATGGAAGGAAAGTGTATAGACAGGTGATATGACATAGTTAGGTATATGTTTTAGAAAAACAGCCCTGAATGTGAAGCGTGGGAGAAATCGAAATCAGAGAGATAAGTTATAAACAAGGCTACTGCAACATTTGAGGTAAGAGATCGTGGAGATCTGAATCAAGGCACTGGCCATGGGAATATAAAAATGAAAGCAAAGAATGGAAGTAGCAGATCTTTATGAGAAACTGGGTGTGGTGGCAAAGGAGGAATCAAGGGTAACCCTAGTTTCTAGTGAGGACAACCTGGTGAAGAATGATGTTGAAAAGTATAGCTCTTTATTAAAAAATTTATTTTAGAGAAGTATAGTTGATTTACAATGTTGTGGTAATTTCCACTGTACAACAAAGTGATTCAGTTATACATATATAAATTCTTTTGATATTCTTTTCCATTATAGTTTATCACAGGAGATATATATATAAATAAAATTTTAACATATATATATAAAACTTCTTTAACATATATATATATATAAAACTTTCTTAACATACATATATATGTAACTTTTATTTTATTAAAAGATGCTTACTCCTTGGAAGGAAAGTTATGACCAACCCAGATAGCATATTAAAAAGCAGAGACATTACTTTGCCAACAAAGGTCCATCTAGTCAAGACTATGGTTTTTCCAGTGGTCATGTATGGATGTGAGAGNGGAGACCCAGGTTCAATCCCTGGGTCGGGAGGATCCCCTGGAGAAGGAAATGGCAGCCCACTCCAGTATTCTTCCCTGGAGAATCCCATGGACAGAGGAGCCTGGCAGGCTATAGTCCATGGGGTCGCTCAGAGTCAGACATGACTGAAGTGACTTAGCATGAATATATACACACACACACACACATACACATACTCTTTTTGGCTGTGCCCTGTGGCATGCAAGATCTTTATTTCCCAACTTAACCAGAATAGGGAACATGAGAGGAAGAAAAGGCTCTCTGTGGAAGAAAATGAAGCTTTGAAAGGCTGAGTTTGAAGAGTCTATTTGACCTCCAGGGAGAAATTCTGGCCAGTCCTCAGAAACGTAGTCATGGAATTCTTGGGAAAGGTATGCCTAGAGTTAGAGAATTATACAGAATTATAAACATCACACAAGGAAGCTACACTGTGGCACCGCCATCTGCTTGGTCTCTCTTCAGGGAGAGAGACCTTTCCAAGCCTCTCCAATCATGATTCCTGGGCTTCTTTTTAAGGCTCAAAACAATTGCTTCCTCCTCACTCCCACCTTTCTAACTCCCCTTTCTTTTTTTTTTTTTTTAGTTCTACCACTTTATTGCTACCAACCCATCTCCCTCCACCCTCGTGCACACATGCTCAGTCATGTAATCCCATGGACTGCAGCCCGCCAGACTCTGTCCATGGACTTTTCCAGGCAAGAATACTGGAGTGGGTTGCCATTTCCTTCTCCACTAATTCCCCTTTCTTACTTCATAACACAACTCTGTATTAGTTAGGGTATAGGTAAAGTTGCTGTAGCAAAGGAACCCCAAAGTACAATAGCTTACATATGATAGGCGTTACATTCTTTCTTATATAACAGTCCAGGGCTGCAGGACAGCTCTATTTCACAACATACAGGAACCTAAGTTGGTGGGCAGTTCTGTCCCTTTCAGCATCTCTGTTACCACTGAAGTGATTGTTCCAATCACCGCCATTTCCCAGTTGGTGGGGGGAAAGAAAATCAGGGCAAGCAGCTTCATCTTTATAGAGATAATACACATCACTTCTGCTCACATCCCATTGGCCCAAACTTGATCACATGACCGCACCCACCTTTGAGGGAGATGGGAAATGTAGCAGTTGCTGGGCAGTTGTGTGGTAAGCTCACACTCAGAAAGGCTCTATTACTGAAATGCAGAAAGGGAAAATGGACACCACAAATAATTAGCAAACTGTGACACTTCTAAACCCCTGGCCGCCTAAATCCATGCACACCCTTATTTCCAGGCATAAAATACATTTGTCCCTTCCCTCAGAAAATAATCCAAGGTACAATCCACTTACTGAGTACAAAATAAAGTCTAATATCTCTGGGTAATGGGCAGCCTTCTCCATCGAGTCTAACTCCAGCTATCTATCTAATAACAGGACGTTATCCCCCCACTACTACTCAACTTTCAGTATGCAATGTGGAACAAAACAAATTATCTACAGTGAAAACTTCCATTTGGAAAAGAGGAGAAAGGAAATCATTTAGCAGTCATTGGTGCGTAGAAAAAATGAACCATGTTGGACAAGAAGTACACATTCCCTGCCTCTGAGTGAAGGAAGTTCTCACATCAGGACTTGGGTCTGTTCTCTTGGAAGAAGGGTCTGTACCTGGTCCTCTCTGAACTTTGGCTTTGTCCTTGTCCAATGTTTTCCACGATCATACCTAAAGTGGGATGTACAGAGTACCTTGGTGAGATTAATACCTATATCAGCTTTCTTTTAGTCAGCAATTGTGGGGTTCATGTCATTTCTTTTCTTTCTACCTGTTTTTATTCTTATGTTTTAAATGTATCTCTTAAATAACATATAGCTGAGTTTTGTTTGCTTATTTTCCATTTCACAACCTCTGTTTTTTTCACTAGAAAATTGAGTAAATCAGACAGATATCGTATGATATCACTTATGTATGGAATCTAAAAGAATGATACTAATTAACAAAACAGAATCAGACTCAGAGACTTAGAAAACAAACTTATGGTTACCAAAATTGAAAGGTATGGGGGGCGTAAATTAGGGTGGGATTAACATATAAACTTTCAGTTCAGTTCAGTCACTCAGTCGTGTCCGACTCTTTGCAACCCCATGAATTGCAGCATGCCAGGCCTCCCTGTCCATCACCAGCTCCAGGAGTTTACTCAAACTCATGTCCATCGAGTCGGTGATGCCATGCAGCCATCTCATCCTCTGTCGTCCCCTTCTCCTCCTGCCCCCAATCCCTCCCAGCATCAGGGTCTTTTCCAATGAGTCAGCTCTTCGCATCAGGTGGCCAAAGTATTGGAGTTTCGGCTTCAACATCAGTCCTTCAAATGAACACCCAGGACTGATCTCCTTTAGGATGGACTGGTTGGATCTCCTTGCAGTCCAAGGGACTCTCAAGAGTCTTCTCCAACACCACAGTTCAAAAGCATCAATTCTT